ACGGTCCCGGTATCGCTGGACGTGCCTTCGGTGGATGTGGTTGCGGAATCTACTAAGAAATGTGTGAAACAAAACAACATCATTTGAAAACATACAATTTTGAACGCAAAACATTTATTTTCTTTAATAAAACGTGACCAGTTGTTAACTTTTGCTTTTAACAATTCGATGCCAAAAAACGTCATTGATGTTTTAAAAATATCTCGTTATGTGTATAAGTACTTCGAAATTGTCAATAAACAATAATTATATTAGAGGGAAACAAAAACCTAGTCTACAGGTTTATTGGTGAAGAGTAATGTTTTTATTTACATAATAAAGGTGACGAACGAACAAGCGGCCACCTAAATTCGCCGAAATATTAATATTACCGTTTTCTATAGACATCTGCAATTGCAAGTGCGATGCCTACCTTTAACGGCGGAGAAAGGACATACAGAAAGAGGACATTTAATATCTTTCCTGTTCTTCCTCCGCCAAACCTACTAACACAATGATTATGTATGGCAATGCTTAAAATTAGGCCTCCAGCACAAGCATTAATAAGGCGAATCACGGTATTTGCTTCCACTTCATGCTTCTGTGTGTTCGTGTCACTTAATACATCCGCGCAATAAATGTTATTGTGTAATTTGTAAATAGAAATATCATACAAGGCATAAATCTCGCATATCTATTTTTGTTAGTCACAGAGCATTGAAATAATAAATTAAGTTTTCTATATTTCAACATTCTGTAGTCAATGTAAATCAATAGTACCGTTTCATAGTCCGTCCACTCTAAAGCCGCTGTTTCACTACAACATATAAAATTACATTGACGGCTTGTTTTGTTTTATTAAAGTTTTTACTGACGAAACACTTGCATATATTGGCATCCTTCTCAATCTCCTTACAAATAGAAAAGATTTATTTGTACTGGTGTTTGGTCGGTGAAATGCAAGTCAAGCTTGGTTCCAGGCTGAATAAAAGGACCATCGCTCGTATAAATTAAATACAAAAGTTACATTCACTTAGATAACATTTTCTTCGGAACGTATATATAAGCATGAAATCTACGCGTACTTATAAATATCTTCCTAAAACTTATGTCAAATCCTTAAAATCAACTACGACAGAAAAAAACTTTTCAATTTCAGTGTTAAACGTAATTTTCATTATTTAAAATACACAATCAACTAGAAAAATCAAGTCAGTTTATTAATTTACTTGTGTGAATTCGAAAAACTGTGACACGGATTATTACGATACTAATCAGTAGACATTAAAAAAAGTTAAACCTATTGCGCAAACAAGAAAAACCTTATTATGTGCAGTACGGGATGGAAAAAGTATTATTTTTCTTTTCTTTTGATAATTTCCATCGATACTAATCATCAGTACAACCTGCTTTTCCAATTTGAATAAATATGGGTTACTTACGATTTGATTGTGAGATCAAACAGTTTAGCATAAATGAAATTAAAGCTTCATCGTAATTGTTTATCGTTTTTATTATAGAAAGAATCAAATAATCATAGAAAGTTTTTAGTAGAGGTAAGCGCCATTGTAAGCGCCGTTGTAAGCGCCATTGCATCCGCAGCCGCCGGCGCAATTT